ATATAAATGAGACATTGTTTGATCAAATTTTTTTACTTTTTGTGATTATTTTTTATGCGACAAAAGTTTTTATATGTGTTTTAGTGATCGATATCCTCATTAATTACATGTTATTTATTCATTGTTTTCCTTTTTGGTCCCCTTTTGGTTTACTTCCCTATTTTACTATTATTGTCACAATTGGGTAAATAATCATTAATTTATTTGACAATTCATTAAATACTGTATTTTGTTTTATTATTAATTAAAATTTTAAAATTGCGGTATATATAATTATTTTGGAAAAATAAAAAATATTTTATCGATAAAATAAATATCGTTTCAATTGTATTCAAATTTTCTTTTAGGAATTTATTTGTTTAATATTTATTTAAATCTTTGCTTTTATTCAACACTTTCTGTGAAAATCTATTGTTAAACCTGTTATTTAATATGAAATCTTTTACACTATATTAATATTTATTTATAAAAACATTAATAGTGTAAATATTTACCGAATCTCTGTTTAAATAAACAGTTCATTTTTCTGTGAAAATCTATTGTTAAACCTGTTATTTAATATGAAATCTTTTACACTATATTAATATTTATTTATAAAAACATTAATAGTGTAAATATTTACCGAATCTCTGTTTAAATAAACAGTTCATTTATCTCTCAATTCACAGAATTTTGTTTAAAACTTATAGATTTTTATTATTACTGTATATTCACATAAATTCCTTGTATATAAAGCTCAACAGAATTTCTGTTTTTGAATAAAAAAATAAAATATTTTATTTAAGATTAAATATACTTATTTTAAAATGAAAATTCGGGTCAGTATTACAAATACATGAATACAACAATTTTAATTAATTTACTAAAATGTTACACATTTACAGTTAATCTTCACAATACTATTACCAATAATTGTCACTACATTTGGTTACGAAACTGGAGGAAATGGTGGCGGTTATGGAGGAAGTTATGGCGGCAGTTACGGGGGTGGATATGGTGGCAGTTATGGCGGTGGAGGCTATGGTGGAGGTCACGGTGGATACGGGGGCTACGGTGGGAATGGTGTGAATGGTTATGGAGTTATTGGTGAATATGTTGGTAGTTATGGGAATTTGGGAGGTTTGGGCATTTTGTATAGCACCGGCTTTCGCAACAAATACTACGGCTCTCGTTATATTAGTCCGGGTTATGGGAGTTATGGCGGCGGACATTATTGCTACAAATGCTACCTTCAAAGACAACACGGCTACGGCTACGGCACTTCATATTGATTGTCATTTATATTAAATCTCATTTTTATATTCAAATACAACTCTCAATACATAATAAAGTTATACATTTTGATTTAGTCAATAAAATTTAGCTCAAAATAATTTGTTTGTTATTTGTGTAGTTATCAAATAAAATATAACATTTACCTTTTGATACAACAAAATTACAGACATTTCCCGATTAATTGTGTTATGTTTACGCACTCTATATTAAATTGTAGTGAATATATGCCGGATATTTATCAGACGATTCTTCAGACAGGAATATACTGTGTATTTGTTATACTATTATTATTATAAGTTATAATTTATAACCAAAATAATTAAAAATTTGTACTAACGAGTTTTTGGAAAATTAATTGTTGTGTTAAGTTTATGTTTACAAGATTATTAATTACGCGATTAAACAAATAACTCAATACGTGATTAATTAGTATAAAATAATTTGAGATAAAAGTAGATAAATAAATAAAATAAAATATACATTTGATTAGGGTTAAAAAAGATTAAATCTCATATAATAAATTATATAATTTGTATAATAGTTTTCTACTGGAATAACATTTATTTTTTCCGAAATTATGAAATGATTATTATTTGAATGTTTTACAAATTATAAGTAATTGAATGAGTTATATTCATCAAGTAATCGTATTAGCATATTGTTACACAGTATGTATTAGAAGTAGTTTAGTATTGTTATAACTTATAATTTAAAGATTGTTAATTTGTTTGCATTTTAAAACTAACGTAAAGAAAATACGTTTAATTGATTGACAACTGATTTCAATACAAAATGAATCCCAAAACTGAAACGTTTCAGAAAATTATTTTGAATAGCAATTTGATTCTTAAGATCTTCTCATACCTTGAGATCCATGAGTTGATACCTCTGGAGAGAGTCTGCAAACAGTTTCAAAAGTGTGTCAACTATTGTTGTGAACAGCAGAAGACCTTATCGTTCAATAGTTTCATTACATTTGACCAGAACTTGCCTAACAATGATGTGATTCCCTTCTTATATGCGTTTCCAATCAAATATCTTGCGATCCATTCAAACCGAAATCCTTGTCTCATCGGTAGTAAAGAGCGGATCCTATGGTTGGCACAGAAGTTACCAAATATTGAGTTCTTGTCGATCAGTCACTTTGAAACCAATTTCAAAACTCTTTATGAAATTCTCAAAGCTTTTGAATCAATTGAATTTCTATCCATTTGTGGTATCAAACACTTCAACGATCAAGAGATGAGACAATTGGGACAACTCTTATCGGGAAGAATAATCAAACTTCTTGTAGACTGTCATTACGAGCACATATCCAATGAGATTGAATTGATTCCAGAGATGACAAGACTTATTAAATTGAATATATTTCTTAATGAAAGACAACAAATCTCAGTGTTATTCAGATGTTTGCCAAAAAGCACTAAAAGTTTGACTCTTTGGTTGTCTTCGGGTGAAAGTATCGGAAGTGAATTAATGGAGGAAATATTGACAACCAATGGACGAGATTTGCAATATTTTTACCCTAAATGTGGGCTAACATCTGAAGCGCTAATTCTGATGATAAATGGCATGTCTTTGAAAGCATTATCATATTGTTTACGACAAGAAGCAAATCAATGGCAGTGTTTGCAAAGTTTGGCCAAAAAGCAGACAAATCTGGAATATTTGGAAATAATTTCCCAGAAATTTGTTGATTATGAATACATCGGACACTGGAATCAATTCCTAAACGTGAAAACACTTCATCTCAATACTTGTCGACCCAA